TAGTAATAGTAGTAGTAGTAGTAGTAGTAGTAGTAGTAGTAGAGCAGGAGCAGTAGCAGTAGCAGTAGCAGTAGCAGTAGCAGTAGCAGTAGCAGTAGCAATAGCAGTAGCAGCAGCAGTAGTAGCAGCAGCTGCATCAGCAACAGTTGTAGTAGAGAAGAGGTGGCAGCAGCAACAGTTGTAGTAGGGGAAGTAGCAATAGTAGCAAGGACTTTTTCTGTGCATATGCATATGTGCATTTATAAACATTGTACATATATGTATATACGTATATGTATACACATGTACACGCGTACATGCTGGTGAAGCGACCGTCCTTATGTACATGTTGCTAGCTATGAATAGGAAAGGACAACAACTAAATCTTGAATGTATGTTGATACATATATAACTAAAAACACATATATATATATACACACACGCCCGCATGCGCACGAACAGAGAGAGAAAGAGAGAGAGAGAGAGAGGGAGAGAGCGAGACACGTACACATACATGTTGCACTCAATCTTAACTGCAAGCGCTCATCCATTCCTCGGGCCTGCGTTTTTGCTGCCGCCTTGGCTTCGGGCTTGCTGGTTGGAGCTGCAGCCTTGGGCATTGAAGGAGAAAAGTGGTCGTGCATTCTACATTGTTCTGTGTGTTGCATGATCCGGTGACATAGTCTAGAAGCCCTAAATAATAATTACCCCTGCTGGGATTCTTGTTCTAGTTATACTTGAACTTACTCAAGAACCCTAGTCTGATCATGACGGCCCATAGTAGCAGTTTTCCAACCAAGCCTCCGTAGAACGCTGGAGCACCATTTTCGAGGACATGAAGCTTCGAGGATGATTTCAATGATTTCTATCTGTATGTCTTGCATGAGCAGTAGGTTTGGATCGTAAATTTCATGATGTCGGGTTCAGCACTTACCAGTCTAAGCGGTGGCCGCAAGTTCCAAGCTACAGTAGAATCAGAAAGCCTTCTTCCTTGCGTTGCCCGTGCTGAATTAATATCCCATGCCGCCACAAGAGACCCCACTCAAAACAGTTAAGCCCTGAACCCCTGGACACCGTAGAACCCGAATGTGAGAAAGGCACGGCTTTTGGCGGCGTTGGCGGGGGGGAGGGTGGCGGTGGCTTGGGCGCAGCCTTGGGTGGCGGTGGGCTGCCTCCTGGCGAAGCCAGCCGAAAATATCATCAGGTTCAGTCTATGGTTTATGGGTTAGGATTTAGGGGTTTGGGGGCGAGGGTTTAGGGTGTAGGGCCTTGCATGGTTCGATCTATTATCATGCTGCTGACGGCTTCTGCCTCACATGCACAGCAAGCCCCGACACCCTAAACCTTAAACCCTTACACCCTAGAGTCTAGGACCCTAAATCCTAAATCCTTTAACCCTGAACCCTAAACCCTAAAACCCTAAATCCCCAAACCCTAAACCCTAAATCATCAACCCTTAAACCCCTATCCCTACCCCAACAAGCCCTTGCTGCTCCCTAAACCTTAACCCCAAAACCCCTAAACCCTAAATCCCTCAACCGTAACCCGGTAACCCCTAAACCCTTAAACTGTGCACCCTACATCCCTTTTCGCTTCTCCTGTTGCCACAGGGGAGCTTGCCTTAGCCTTTGGCAGCGGAGGAGCTTTCGCCTGGAAAGGATCTTATATATATATATATACACACACACACACCTAGCTTCAAAATATGAAAATACAAACGCAAGTATACAACAGGGACTTTACTAAAACTTTTCACTAATTCCGACCCTTCTTGCCTATATTATCCTCCAGCACTTACCCAGGACTTGCCTAGAAACTACGCGGATGGATGGATGTTTAGATTTAGTTCTGGGAGTTGAGGCCCTAAACCCTAAACCTTGAACCCTAAACCCTGAACCCTGAACCCTAAACCCTGAACCTTAAATCCTAAACCCCAAACCCCGAACCCTAAACTGCAGGGCCTGGCAGGTTCTAGCCCTCACCTAAGGAACCCCAGACCTTGTTCAAGTTTAGGGTTCTTTAGCGTTTAGGGTTCAGGGTTTAGTATTTT